TAATAGTTGAAGCTTAAGCTACTTAAATTATCTCCACAGACACAAGTATGAACACTCTCACATGGTCTCACCTGCAGGTTTGGCTGAGGTGAGTTCCAAAGGAAGAACTGACAATTAACAACACTGAAGAAAGGGAAAGATTGCTATTTGACCAAAGGCTCAAGTTAGAAAAAGAACAACCAGTAATTAGGAATAACATGCTCTGAAATCAGCCAGTTTATGAAAAGCCTCACTGCCACAGGCCGTCACTGTTGGCCTTGAGACTTTGAAATCCATTCTATCATTGACAGCCAGCACTTAGCACAGCAGCTCCTAATGCTATTATTGGATGTGTTTTCTTGTGAATGAACATTCAATAGGCAAAAGAAAATGAATTGGATGCTATCACTGTATTATTATAAAGCATTACAATGTCCATGAAGTCTAGACTTTGCATACAAGCCATTAACAGGCAAATTCAGCAAACAAGAAATCACAAAGGAGAACCAAATCATCAGGGAAGTAGAATTAGAGAAGGAGGCAGATAGTTTATATGCCTAATGTATTAGATAAAGAATTAATACTTTTTAAGTATATGTCTTGTGTGATATTTTTATCCCAGTGTACAAAATGTAGGTGATTGGGGAGAATTCATTTTTAACTGGGCTTCCTGGTGGTGGTTGTTTTTTCTAGTTCAGTTCAGTTTTTGTTTCTTGGTATGCATGGGGTCTTTCACACCTGGCAATGCTACATGCAGAGCTCTGAGCGCCTGTTGTGAGTTACCTGCTGTAATATCCAAACCCAGAAATCACACCACCAAGTTCAGGGTCTGCACTTCAGACATCAGAAAATGAACCCTGTGTTAGCTACTGTAGTCAGACTTTCTTTGGACCACCTGCCAGCAAATAATGACATGGAGACTTACAATTAACTATGAATGTTTGGCTTTTAGCTTAGGCTTGTCCTCAACTAGCTCTTATAATTCAAATTAACCTGCTTCTACTAATCTATGTTCTCTCGTGTAGCTTTTACCTTTCCTCAGTACATATGACTTGCTACAAGTCTGCTGGCAAAATCCCCATGCCTAGATTCCTCCTCCTCTTCCTCTCTCTCCCCAGAAATCCTGCCTATCCTCTCCTGCCTAGCTATTGGCTATTCAGCTCATTATTAAACCAATCAGAAAGAGCCTTAGGCAGAGACACATCTTCACAGTGTACACAAATATTCTGCAACAATCAACCATCCGCTACTGGTAGCCCCTCTTCACAGCATTGAGGTTCCACAACCTTCTCTTCTCCCATCTGTTTCCAGGACGCTAGTGTGGTGCCAAGCCATAATCCCCAAACACACACTCCCACACACTATAATCCTCAAAGCTGAAATATGGAAAGATCCAAATCCACAAGGTCTAGAGTTCTCAAAATTGTTTTCTCAAAAGATTAAAATTCTGAATGCTGAAATCATGAAAGCGAAAGTCTCCAAACCATAATTCTTATTAAAATAAAATGCTCTGTTAATGGGAATGCTAGGTGGTTGCATTGTACCAGGTGGAACAAATACCTGAAAATCGGTAAAGAATTAGCCTGGGTGTCTATGAGGAAATTTAACAGGTGCTTTAAGGAGGAAACATTGTCCCTCAGATCTATCAGAGATTGGGAGCTAAAGACGGGAAAAGGCACCAACAGGACATGTTTTCAACAGGAAATGCAGCCAGACCCCCACAAATGGAGAGCAAATACTATCTTTTCTCATCCCTTCCGCAGGCTTCCCCCAGAACATCCCATTGGCGGAGTTCAAGCAGGCCAAATCAGAAGAGCGGCACACTGAAGGAACTCGGAGGTCAGCCGTCTGGGGCACAGAGAAAAGCAGAGACTAGTTTTCCCTTTTTTTCTGGAGAGCACTGGTATTGGCACTAAAATAAAAACAAACCACTATAGCCCACCCAGGTTTGCATAGCCAGTGTTGCTGATGGCGCAGACACAGCTTAGCCACTCTCGTGCCACAGGCCATTGGTCACCGCGGGATTAACGATGGCCATCTGCCTGTTTTGATCTCAGTAGGACACAGTAGGATTCCAGCACCCTAACGCTACCGGACTTTTGAACAGGTGAGCGCCAGTGTTCAGCATCCTAGACAGTGTCACGTTTTTGCGTGGAAATACTGCATTTTCCTCTCCTCTATCAAGTAGGAGATACCATTTCAGGGATACAAAGTTGCAGGCTTTGAGATTACAAATCATTCTTGGGCACACTCTTAATCCACCGTGTTAGAAACAGCTGATAGGGAACACTTAAAAAGTAGCCAACTGGCGAGCTCACTCATCACCACCCCCAACCCAGCACCTGGCCAAGAAGGTTATATCCTTGGGCTGCAAGAAAACAAGCGGCTTGCTGCAGAAAACAAGCAACATAATCCACTTGTTTAGTGAATTCAGAAATACTTAAGTCTCTCCTAGAGGGAGGGCAAAGCAACCAAGTTCCAGGATTCAGTCTGAGTCACTGCTACCACTCTGCCTATAATCCTCTTATGTCCCGTCCATGTTTCTCATTAGCCATGGACTGGCTGTGTTCCACAAGAGCAGCTAAATCCATGCCACGGTTTGGCAGGACCCATCCACCTGGCTGCTTTTTGAGCATCAGTGGCAGCTCCCAATCTTCATCCACCCCTGTACTTTTATCATTATTCCTGCTTTCAGCCACTCCTGGATTTTCCTGGGCGCCGCTGAGGAGGACCTCTTCCTTACTAATCACCTGGCAGCCTTTCAGCCCAGGTTGTTCTCTTGATGATTCCCTAACTGTGATCCTCCCTTGTGTTCCTGGCCTCCCACATGTGTGGGCTACCTCATTACAATCAAGAGGGTGCCCAAATCCCTCAGCCCTGAGACAAGGTTGCAGTTGATACACAACCCCCAAATAACGGCAGTTCAGGGGCCAGTGGTATACAGCTCCAGTACTGTTTGGTGGAAATACAAATTGGGCTGGGGACGACAAACAGATTATAGTGCACCTGAAACCTGAAGCCACTGCCCTACTTCCTACCCTCCCCCAATCAGCCCTAGCCCCCAGCTGTCTTCTTCCATGGAGAGGTGCCCATAGGTTGGAAAGAGTTAGATATAATAAATTCCACAAAGTGGTCTTGGCCCCTAGAAGATGGTGTTTTACATATATATAGAGAGGACACCGGTAGGCTATCCTTCTAGAAGGAGCCACTCCTTCTAGATAAGTGGTTCTCAACCTGTGGGTTGCGACCTCTTGGATTGAACAACCCTTTCACAGGGGTCACCTGTCAGATATCCCGCATATCAGATATGTAAATTGTGATTCATCAGTAGCAAAGTTACAGTTACAAGGTAGCAATTACATAATTTTATGGTTGGGGGTCACCACAACATGAGGAACTGTGTATTAAAGGGTCACAGTATTAGAAAGGTTGAGAACCACTGTTCCAGAGTCTAGAGCCTGGGATCTGGTCATTGCCTGCCCCACCTCCAAGCAAGTCCTTCTAGGCCTCTTAGGGAGGGGAAATCAATCATTTCAAAATAAATAAAAGCATGTATTTAGAGGTACATTTCCCTCTTTTTGCCTCAAACTTTAGTACAGAACTGTGTGATCTTGTTTTTATTTAAAATTTAATATTTTGTTCAGCGTTCTAGTTAGCTGTCACTGTCAACTTGACACAGCCTAGAGTGCTCTCCAGGGCAATTTAGATTTGTCTGTCCCCAACAAAATGTTACGGAGTAACTCTTCCACATTCTAAAGAGCAGACAAGTAATGTGTTCACATCAGTCCTTCCTAGTCTTCAGGGCCAAGATGCGTGTCCACAGTAGACAGGAGCTATGGACTGTTGCTTGAGGGACTTACTGGAACAGTCAATAGGAACCTTGAAGCCAGAGAGGCTATGGGGGAGCAATACCAAGTGGGATGTTATCTGCTATGGCCTAGTTGTCATATACAAGGTAGTGGAGTCCTAAAGGGAACATATATTATTTCAAAAGCATTATAAGACTATTCCAGAGAAAAGGAGAAACTTAAAATCTGCATACGGCCCCTTCCTTCAGAAGCTTGTGTTTGCTGATTTGCCATAGACATTATAATGGCAAGAAGATCATGGTATTCTCTTGTGCCCTTTAGAGAACAGCTAACCTCACCTTGCCAACTTCTCAGCCAATCCTGTTTCCTCAGACTGGAAGCCTCTGAGTCCTCATCTGAATGGATCTCAACTGAACTGCTGCTAAAAGCCTAAAAGCTTAAAAAGGCTAAAAGCCTCTAGTTCCTGGTCATGCCTTATATACTTTTCTGCTTCCTGTCATCACTTCTTGGGATTAAAGGCGTGTGTCTTTCCCAAGCACAACATGAGATCTCAAATGCTGGGATTAAAGGTGTGTGTCACTGTGCCTGGCTGTTTCCAGTGTGGCCTTGAAGTCAAAGAGATCCGGATGGATCTCTGCCTCTGGAATGCTAAAATTAAAGGTGTGTGTACTACCACTGCCTAACCTCTATGTTTAATATAGTGGCTGTTCTGTTCTCTGACCCCCAGATAAATTTATTGGGGTGCACAATATATCAACCACAATCCAAGGCAATAAACATTCAGATAAAGTTTGTACATTAAGAAACGTGGAAATACAGAGATACAGGCAGTGGATGTTTTGCTTTTCTGGGCAGAGTGGGGTTATAAAAGCATTAATGATATGGTGAACTGAGAAAATGCACTTTTGTAGAGGAGTGAGGGAGATCATATCCACTTTTCCAAGTGCTTAAGAGAAACTTTCTCCAGGGTGATGTTGCTTAGGGGGTAAAGGTACTTGCTACCAAGCCTGATGACCCCAGGAAGAAAATGGAAGGAGAGAATGGACTCCTAAAAGTTGTCCTTTGACCTGCATGGTGTGCTCACATTCATACCTTCCCACATTCAAAATATGTACATACATACATACATACATAATGTGATTTTAAAAAAGGAAAGTTTCTTTTGGAATTTATAAGCATCAAGGAAATGTAGTGACTGTTACACTTAGAAGCTTGGGAAATTAACATTTATTAGCAAGGGTTATTATCTTTAACCCATGACAGGAGGGGTGGTTTTTTGGAGACGAGGACCAATTCACAGAACTTAGATACAGATAACTAATGCACCATCTCACTACCAGTGAAGTAAGTGACCGGTATGTGAAGTCCAGGTCTTTTGGATTTCTCAAGCCTCTCTATCGAACAGCCCCTGTGAAACCAATGGAAAGGAAGAATTTACTCCTTGGTCCGTGATCCCATCCATCACACTTCTCCCACACCCACCTTAATATCATTTCTACAAAGCTGAAGAATCACATCTTCCCGTCCTCCAGTGGTCTCATTCAGTTCAGCCCCTCATGCTTGTGGTCCCAAATCTGAGTTTATAAAATAAAAATTGAAAAATTCAATTTCCGTACATTTTACCCTTCGGCTGAAAATTTGCCATGCCAACCAAGTGAAAGTAGCTGATAGAAACCCATCAGAGGGGTGGGAGAGATGATATCCTCTGTCCTCCTAATGTTAGAAGCAAGTCTGAGGTCTCAAAGACAGAGCCCACCACTCCAACTATGTGTCTGGACAAGACAGATTTATTCTTGATCAAGAGGGTGTGATCAGAAGAGCCGACAGACACCTCCAGTCAGGCAGTGCACTGGCTTTTATTCTAACTCAGGTAGTGACTGTGTCTTTGGGGGAGGGGGGGTCCAACCTCACAGTCTTAATTCAATTGGCTAGTCTGAAAAAAAAAAAGTCACACAGGAAACAAAGAGGAAGGGAAGGGCACAACTCCAGGCTGTCAAATTACTGGAAAGTGTTGTTTGCTGTTTTGTTTTTGTTTTCAAGTCAGGGTTTCTCCGTGTGGCCCTGGCTATCCTGGAAGTCACTCTGTAGCCAGGCTGGCATCCAACCTCCAACTCAGAGATCTGCCTGCCTCTGCCTCCCTGGTACTGGGGTTAAAGGAGTGCATCACCACCACCTGACTCAAATTACTGGCAGGTTTTCCTGGTGGAGGGGATTAAAACAATTTGTATAAAAGTCTTACGAGATGGGGGGGATAAAAATAATTTAATTCCTTGTCCTAAACACAAGTCTTATAGTACTTGATGGAAAAGATTCATATTTGAGTATTTCTTACACTAAGTAGTTGGGAGGAACTTCCTCCGGGATGTGGGTAGTTTTAGAAACCTACGGGTAAAAGCTTTGGAAATTAACATTTGTTGGTTATCTAGATAAGGAATTTACCCAGAGATGATTTTCATTTTTAGGACCATTTTGCTTTGTGGGCAGTGGTAGATTTATAGCCTCCCGATTATTTCGAAGTTGGAGTGCTTTTCCCTGTGTCTCTCTCCCTGCCATTCCTTCCCTACGAAGCGGAAAAGAGCAGCAAGGCGGAGCGCGGGTGGGGGTGGGGCGGGGGAGTCCAGTTCACGGATTGGAAACGCAGCCGAGGGTTGGGGACGCAAAGGAGGCCCGAGATGATCAGCGTGAGGTTTAGGTCGAGGCTTTGAGGGTACCCCATAGAAGACGGCAGGAAGAAGCGAGAGAGCGAAGAAGATTCCGGGGGCAGCCTGGCAGGGGTCTGGGCTGAGCTTAGTTAGGGCTGCGCAGGGAAAGGCGCATCGGCGAGCGGCCGAGCAGCAGACACCGCGCCAGCCAGCCGCAGGGCGGGCCGCGGGGTGGGCGGGGCGTCCAGGGGGCGGGGCCGGCCGACAGTTACATAACTAACCTGAGCCCGCGGCCGCCGAGCGGTGCGGGCGGCGGGGGCGGGGCCGGGGTGGTGCCAGGCTGCAGCGGGCCGGGCAAGATGGCTGCCGTGGAGGCCGAGCTCGGGCTGCCGTTCACCCTGGAGTCGCTGCCCACCGACCCCCTTCTGCTCATCTTATCCTTCGTGGACTACAGGGACCTAATCAAGTAATGGGGCGGTGCTCGTGGCAGGGGTGGGGACGTGGAAGGGAGCGGCGGCGGAGGCCGGGAAGGAGGCCCCGGGCCGCCGAGACGGGACGCGGGCTTCCTCTGCAGCAGAGGGTGACTGCAGGGCAGCCGTTATCCTGCAGGGCCACATCGGGGGCGAGGGAGACGCACGCGGAGCAGGGGGCTGGGCATCCAGGCCTCACTCCGGCCCGGGTACCCGAGGACTTTGCGCCCTCTCCCTCCAGCCTTGCCCAGGCCGGTTTGCCGAGGAGAGCGCAGCGCGCCGCGGACCCGCGCTGGCCCTTTGGGGCCTGGCCTGGCGCCGTGGAAAGGCCGCTGTCTCGGCCCACGCGCGTCCCTGCCGGGCCTGGGGTCCAGGATGACCGGAGCCCGCGTGGGCAGGTAGAACGCGCGCCAGGAGGTCTGCGACCTTCCGATTCCCTCTGATGCCCCCCGGGGGTCACGGGCAGCCTGCACTTTCTCTTGTGTTGGCGACTTTTTTGGCTGTCAGTTTTCCTCCTTGACGGTGGGTGGGTGGATTTTTGTGTTTTGTCACCGACTTCCGGTGAGGCCTTACAGGTGACTGCAGTTAGCTCAGGCCTTCCCAAACCACCAACGTTTGCTCCAAAAAAAAATAAAAAATAAACAACCGGCCTGCGAGTACGGGTGGCCAAAGCCCAATGCCCAAGTCTTGCAGAGAACGGGACCGTTCAGGTTGGAGAAAGAAATGGCGCTGCTGTGCTCACCCCCCACCCCCCACCCCCGTGTTAGGATTGTTTACATCCTTGACGGCATGGCCAGGGGTTCTTGAGCTTCCGTGTATGTTTGTAGAGGAGGCAAAAAGGCCCTCTCATATGGGGGAGACCCAGTTTTGGTTTTTGATTGATGACTGGATCCTGGCCGTTTGAGGATTGTGTCCTCCGGTTTTAGGGGATTTTAGAGGTACAGATTTCTTGGAGTTACAGTTTGGTTGGCCTAGCTAAGTGGCGGCAGAGGTATTTCCTGGGTTTTCTGCTATGGTCTCCACTCGTACCTACTAACACTTGTTTTTTTTTTCTGAAAACACATTTCCCCCTACTTCAGCCCGTACTAAAGCAGAGGAAGTTTTTCTGTAGAAAAGGCTGTACCGCTCAGATTGATTTCATCTGGAATACTCTTGCTGTAACTCACCTTGACAGCCTCCTGTCTTTGCTGCCACAGTTACCTTCCGAAGAAGATCCTGGCCGTCATTCTTCTTAAAAGCCCGTAATAGCCCTGTTTACAGACTGTACCCTGAGCTTCTGCAGTATTTCAGGCCCTTATCTTCTAGCTTATTATCTAAGCCTTTCAGGCCTTCCTCCACTATGGAATTTGCACAGTCCATTCTAGCTAGAGCAGACATCAGGCGGCGTGCCACACACTTGCACATTGTTGTGTGAGCTCTGCTCCTTGTCTGGAATAGTTCACTCTCCTCAACTTGGCAACCTTACTCTCCCATCTTCCTTAGCTACAGTTTGTCCTGACAGTGTGCACTTCTAGAGTGTAAGGATTGTTTATTTTTGTATTCAGTTGTTCAATCAATTTTTTTTGGAGTGCCTGCCATGTGTTGGTTAAATGTAGGCATACAATAGTGAATTGGAGAGATAGGGTCTTTTTTGACGTCGCTGAAATACTGTAGACAAGATGGAAGGTCAAACAAGTGCATAATTACAAGAGCGGTGTGTGTGTGTGTGTGTGTGTGTGTGTGTGTGTGTGTGTGTGTAAGGAATACACACGTTGCACTGTTGGAATGTGGAAGTCGGGATGACTAACTCGTGCAAGATGAAAATGTGGCAGAGTGCTGGTCTGTCCTAGTGAAGGGAATGGTGTGGAGAGGCTCACGGTCTGTTAACAGTAGTGTGGCCGGTTCAACTAGAAAAACTAGAAAGCTGTTTTTGCTAAAGGTCGTAATGACTAACAGGCAGGCTGCATGAAGGGTGGCTGAGATCATGTAGCCTCTTGGAAGAATAGATTTTTAGTTCAGGTAGTAATCAGAATTTTAAACTGAAGTGACGTGACTCCTCCGTAAATGTTTGTGGAAATGAGTGGAGTTGAATACTATTTTTGTCTACAGACTCATCCAGCATACTGCAGCGTCTTTCTTGCTCAGTACAGTCCAACTTTGCCAAGTGTCTCACCTGTTGCCAGGGCCTAACGGTTTTGGTGCACATTTGCTTGACTGTGGTGGGTTGAACTGTTTTAATCTATTGGGAATTTAGTTTGATTTGAGATAGTATGTTACTTTCTCCTTATTGCTCACAGGGCAGTTATATTAACTCACACATTAAATGCTTTGAAAAGATACTGCATTGCAGCTATATAGGTAGTAAGTAGAAATAAGAGAAATAAAGGGCATCAAGCAGAATTTACCAATGACTGTTGGAATCTTTGTCTTTCAATTTTTCTCCCTTTTATACTAACTGAATCCGGTCACTGCCAGTTGTTGCCATGTCAGTCGCAGACTCAACCAGCTCTCAACTCATGATCCTTTGTGGAGAAGACATTGCAAAAAATACTGGCTGATAACCGAGTAAGTATTTTGTGAACATTTGTTCTTCTGTGGGTGTAGGCTACGGTGTAGGTTTGTTTGTTTGTTTGTTTGTTTTAAGAGTAAATTTTTCATTGTTAGAGACAACGACTCATTCCCTAGTCTGGGCTGGCCTCGACCTGTTGTTTGAATTCTTAAATGATCTTACTAATAGAAAACCCTGAGTCAGATATTGGGGTGAATGCTAAAAGATCAGAGAAGCAGAACAAGCCACAGCCAACCTCACTTTGTCAACTCCTCAGCCGATCCTGTTTCCTCAGACTGAAAGCCTCTGAGTCCTCACCTGAAAAGAGCCTTTAGTTCCTGTCTCCTCACGCCTTATATATCTTTCTCTGCCCTGCCATATTACTTCCTGGGATTCAAGGTGTGTGCCACCACTGCCTGGCTCTGTTTTCTCTCCTAGACTGAGTCAATCTCATGTAGTTCAGGGTGTCCTTGAACTCATAGAGATCTAGACGGATCTCTACTTCCGGAGTACAAGGATTAAAGGTGTGTGCCACCACTGCCTGACCTCTATTTTAATCTAGTGGCTTGTTCTGTCCTCTGATCCTCAAACAGGCTTTACTAGGGTACACACTATATCACCATAGTGACCGTGTGGCAGCGCTTCGCTTCAGCCTCTGCTGTGTTGGCATTACAAGGGTGAGCTACCACACTTGGCCCTAGAGCAGTGTTCTCAATCTTCCTAGTGCTGCGACCTTTAATACAGTTCCTCATAGTGTGGTGACCCCCAACCATAAAATTATTTTCATTGCTACTTTATAACTGTAATTTTGCTACTGTTATGAATTATAATGTGAATATCTGATATGCAGGATGGTACTAGGGGACCCCTGTGAAAGGGCCATTCAACCCCCAAAGGGATCATGACCCACAGGTTGACACCTGCTGCACTAGAGTAATTTTTAATTGATATGCAATAATTGCTCATGTTTATGGGATAAAGTGTAATTCAGTACATATTTACAATGTATAAGAAGTCAGGCTAATTAGTATTTCCAGCTCCTTTAAGTGTATATCATTTCTTTGTATTTGGAGTTTTCCGGTACTTTCTTCTTAGTTCTTTATAACATGTTATAAAACATACAGTAAATTGTAGTAATCTGTAGCCATTGCCTACTAATACTTCTCCTTTCTAGTTAACTCTGTTTCCAGTGATGGTCTGAACCCCTTGCTTTCTTCCCTTCCCAGCCTCTAATGCAGAATATATAGTTTTGAATCCTGACCTTTGACTACTATAATACTATGTACTAGTTTTCCTTTCTAACCCAGTTTCTGTTACTGGGTCCAGTCAAAGTTACCACATAGCCAGAATAAACATGTAGATGACAGTGAGATTTAGAAGTAGAAGAAAAAGCAGGGATACCTAACATGTTTCTTTAATCATGGAAAGTCAGGATTGCTAAAGTTGGTGGAGAACTATAGGTTCTAAGTGTGTGTGTGTGTGTGTGTGTGTGTGTGTGTGTGTGTATGTATGTAATATAGTTAATATATATTTAATATTTAATATGTTTTGGGTTTTTGAGACAGGGTTTCTCTGTGTAGCCCTGGCTGTCCTGGAATTCACTTTGTAGCTCAGTCTGATCTCGAACTAAGTATATTATTTGAAGCTGAAAGCATTAGTTCTACCAAGGGAAAAGTTAATAACAGCTATTAAGCATTGGGAGGAGGAAGAATGAGGAAGGAAGAATTTTAAGTGTTGATATATCCTCATCTTTCACTTAGGGGCATGTAGATGGAAGTTTCTGTTCCACCAGCAGCTCCCAAATAAACACACTGAGGTTTATATTAATTATAAATGCTTGGCCGATAGCTCAGGCTTATTACTAACTAGCTCTTACTTTTATCTTTTTTTTTTTTTTTGGTTTTTCGAGACAGGGTTTCTCTGTGTAGCTTTGCGCCTTTCCTGGAACTCACTTGGTAGCCCAGACTGGCCTTGAATTCACAGAGATCCGCCTGCCTCTGCCTCCCAAGTGCTGGGATTAAAGGCGTGCGCTACCACCGCCGGCTAGCTCTTACATTTTTAAGTTAACCCGTATTCCTTATTTACGCTCTGCCACATGGTGGTACCTTTATTAACATGGCTTGTTCATCTCCTGCTCCCTCTGCATCTGGCTGGCAACTCTAGACTCTGCCCTTTTCCTCCCAGCATTCTCTTAGTCTAACTCTCCTGCCTAACCTTATTCTGTTCACTAT